TAACATGACATCTGCAATCCACCACTCCAGGACACAAAGCTTCTGCAGAGCTCCCAACACAATTCAAAATCTATGCAGCTGGTTTGTGGAGAACAGGGATCACCCAGTGGCCACTGGGAAAGAGGAAAGCATCTGTGTGTCACTGCAGTGCCTCACAGCTCTCATGTTGAGCTCAGGAGGGAGCATGGTCTAACACACTGACGATAATGCAATCTGAATATGCAAAATATTGGAATAACTGACTCCCATTGCTTCAAATTACTGTCCTCTGAGGAATGGACAAGGTTTGGCAGTTGAGGGACTCGCTTTTCTAACCACTTGAAGGTGCAACACAACGAGGCTAGCAACAAAGCAAGTCTACAGGAAGCAGGGATTAAATTTCTGCCTAATTTCTGCATTAAAGATTGCTTCCAGGGAATCTGAGAGAGGAAGCAACATGCCTCCATGCTCTGGTACCAAAACTTTAGCCACCTGATGGTAAGATGGGGATACCAGCTTCCCAAGATGTGGATGCCAGCTCCGTGATCCCCGTCACACCTTGAAATGCTCTTGAGAAGTCTCAGCTTCTCTGATTTGCTGAGATAAATCCAGCATCTTCAGAGGACAGCCATATCCTGTGTGTGTTTTCCATGCATACACATATTTGTCCATATAGCTTCGAGACTTTCACATCTCCTGAAGTTTCCAGCACTCTTTTCCTCTGAAGAAAACCAACACAACCAAGAGCTGCTCCACAAGCCTGTCAGGGATTCAGCCAGACGCTTCATGGGTCGCATGTCATTCCACTTGGATAATATTTCTGGTTAGAAATAGTGGAGGCACACAGATAATTAGATAAATGTGCGTTAGATAAATGAATCATGGGGTGACCTTCAGCTTGTCTCCTGGGAGAAATATTTAAATGGAAAGAAATTTGGCCCTGATATAAGGGAGATCTGATCTTGTGTTACAGCACTCTGCAAACGACATGACTCCTTCAAGATGCAGTCCACGTTTGTTCACTGTCTTCTATTTGCTCCTGCTGTATTTATGTTACCTTTCTTAAGAGGGTAAATAAAGGGTTAAATACATCTGGGAGCTCATTTGCTAAGCTACTTCAAAAATACCAAAATGGTGGTATAAACCTATGAGAGTCTGGTATTAATTATAAGGTACACAGACATACATAGAATGTTTGTTTTTTTTTAAATCTCACTTAAAAGACATAAAGCTTTCAAACAAGGCATTCTGCTGCATGGGAAGGTTTGCTCTTCCTTGCTAAGTAATTCTTTGTGTTTTCATACATGACAGACTCTACAGTAACCACTGCTCAAAGTCTTCAATATCTTTGCAAAAGAGCTCTCACCCTACTCAAAAATGTTTTTAAATGGGCAGATTCACTTCTTCAGCAGGCTCTCACTCTGTGCAGAAGCCAGAAAACCAGTATTTCGTGAAAATCCTGTCAACAGAACATAGATATCTAGCAAAGTAATATTCAAGTATTATTCTATTGATTTATTCCATGCTACAGGTTGGAAGAGGAGAACAGGGACCATTTCAGCAGTTTATACAGTACTGGCAGTTTCCGGATGTAATCCAGGGCTATTCCCTGCTGACCAAACAGGGGCTCACAAAAAGAAGGCCAGCCCTCAGCTGAGCATCTGATCCAAAGGAAAATTCAGCCAAAAGCTGAGCACTGAAGAGATAAGTTAATACAACAGCAAGCAAAAGCTCTGGGTTTAAGCAGAAGTCCACAGCGTTTAACCTACTTTAACAGATCAATCCAGTGGGCTTTTAATCATCCCATTAATCCTAAAATAAAAATAATTACCCCAGAGATCTGTATTAACGTCCCTTAATTATATCTCATTTCAACATCCTTTTTACTCGGAATAAGGAGCATCATAGACCACAGCTTTCTGAAGTCGTGGAGCTTAACTCTAATTCAGACTTCAGCTGCTATGGGGATGCCTTTCCTGAGAGCACTGCTAAGAGATGGAAAAAAAGGAAAAAGAGTGAAAAAAAGGCGGGCAGGACTCTGCTTTCCAAAGGCACATTACAAAGCAGCAGCCAAAGGAAATGAACAACATTTATATGGTAAGTGAAAAATGCGTGAAAACTTGGAAACCTGGGAAAGAGAGAACTTCACCAAGCCTGGAACCCTTCTTCAATTTCTCTGAGTGCTGTTTCTCTCCTGGAGATTCAATCTTGTCTGCAGCCCTACTGTCCCCGTGGGCTTGGGGCATGGCCATGGGTGGATGGAGGGCCACCAGTGTCCATCGGAGCTTGAGGAGTGTTGCTGGCAATGCAGCCAGCCTGTTCTCTACTTCTTCAGTGCAGAGCAGAGCTCACAACCATACAGCTCACACTTCCATCTGGCTCCCAACAAACTGTGTGTTTTCCACTCCTAACAAACACCTCTTTGTCCATACCCCTTATGGGAACCAAGTCCCTCGTAATAGAATCACAGAATGATTAAGATTGGTCTAAGACCACCAAGTCCAGCCATCAGTGGAGGAGCTGATGCAGCCCCAATATTCTGTCCAAGCTCCCTGTTTTAGCTGCTTGGTTTCAGTCTCGCTGGACATTAGCCATTTCCACCATCTCCTTGCAGAGGAACAAGCCAGCCTTGTGTTATATTTAGGCTTAAAAGCATTGCACATTTAGCAGAAGAGTATTTCAGGGCAATTTTCAGCTTTGCCTAAATACACAACGGAATTTCTTCCTGCTGCCTTGGGAGGAGGCCCAGAGGGCTGTTACTGTTGCAGAGGTTGAGATGATATCAAGCAAACGCTGTCATAAAGCAAACAGCATGTTGGATCCCAGCATGTAAATGGCTTTGGGTTTAGGCAGCGTCCCCAGGCTCCAGCTTGGCAAGAGGCTCCGAGGCTATAAATATCCCACTTCTCTGCAAAGATGCTCTCCAAAACCACCACAGACCTGAAGGTGCAAGATGTAACGTGCCCAAGGAGCCTCACAGCTCCTAGCAGGGATTTGTGAAAGAGGAGACTGGGCACAAGTTACAGCCACTGGCAAGAAACCCAACATCAGTTACTGTAATGCACCTCAGGGAAAGAAGTATCTTCATGATGATGTTATGGTAAGGACGTAGGCTGATATGTGACTTTTTCTGTCCTTAATAACTGGCAGCCTGAGACTGCCACATTCTGAATTGTCATTTCTGCAGCCAACAGAACTAGCACTGCCCAGCAGAAAGGACTCTGAGTGCTTTTTCCCGTTAAGTGAGGGAGAAACCTGCCTGGAGATATTTTGTGTGAGAAAAAGAAGGAAAAATGACAAATCATCACAAGCTGGATTAAAAAGAAACAAAAAACAGCCGTGTTATGCAGTCACAGAGACAAAATGAATGCATGATTCTTTGCCTGAGCTCCTTGAATGGCACTGCTCAAAACCAAAGCTTTTCCTAGCAAATCTAGGAATTGAACATTGCTCATTTTGCATTCCCTGCTGCCTGTCCCAGGGCATGTGGTAGGACACAGACTAACCCCAAAAGAAAGTCTTCCGTTGTATCTTCTCACTATTGTATTTTCACTTGGCCATTTCTCACTTCCATCTCTACTTGGGATCTATTTGTCAGCACTAATCCTCCTGCAATCACTTGCACATAGGAAAATCAGTTACTGGCCGCAAGGCCTACAGGACAAATTGGATAAGTAAGGCAAAATGAAACCTCACATGGGTATCAGGTCATCCTTGTGGCACCAAGACCATCCTGGTCTATCTGATGGGTTCCTGCAGCCCCCAAAGACAGAGATTTAATACCTCCTTAGGTAGCCTTATGCTTTAGAAGTTTTCTCTTTTTGTGAAACAAATCTTTTATGTTGTAATTAAAACACGTGACTTCTTGTCACCCCATGAGCTGTCACCGAAATGTGCTCGTTACCTTCATCTTTCCAAACACTGGATATTTCAAGATGGTTATCATATCACCCCTCAATTTTCTCCAAGGTAAACAAGCAATTATCTGCTGTGCCTTCTGCAACTCAGCTCATTCTTGCTCTTTTCCTTCGGTTCCTTCCAATCTAGTCACACCTTTCTGTAAGTGAGCTGCCCAAACCATCACCCCTCACCACTGAGCAGGGCACACAAACTGCTCAGCTAACCCACAACACATCTGTCCACACATATTAACACTACGCTTGCTATTTCCCCTCTTGGCAAGAAATGTTTGCTGATTTGTCAGTATTTTCCTTGCTCTTAGCACTGCAAATCAGGAGCCAAACCATTGATCTCTTTTGGCGAGTTACAGCTCAGTTCCCATAAAAAATTCCACAGCAGCTGCCTACTTACCTCAGAGCCCTCAAGACAAACATTCCCCGTTATAAAATCATATCAGCCATAACTCTTCAAACTAGATTTAAGCAAAATAAACTCTGCATGGGTCGAGTTTAAGCACTTGGAGATCCCCACTGGTTTTTGCTGTAACACGAGCAGCACTGTTTCAGATCAAAGGCTGATGTGCTCTACAACACAGCAGCTTCAGCAGCAAATTCACTAGAATACAGCAGGGAAAAAAACAAGTGCTTTCTCTGCTGTTTGGAATACTAGCATTGTTATGCTGATTTTAGGAATGGCCTTGGCATGTTTGTTTCTGACAACGCCAAAGTTTAAGCAGTAACCATGCTGCCTTACTTCAACCTCTGAAAGCATTTCAGCTTCAACTTACGTGGAGTGAAAAGCCTGGATGGCAGGGTCTGGTCAAAATAAAAATTTAGGTGGCACAGTTACATCCTAAGTGAGACCCAGTCTTTAATAACAGCTGAGAATTAAGAAACACCAAGGTGAAGATACCCTAAAAGCATAAGTCAATAAATGCCAATAACACAAGTCAGTACAAAATGCCTCATGCTGTTATTAATAATCAAACAGACACTGCAGATGCTGGATACACTCCCCCAGACCGACAAGAGGTTCGTACTGCCAGCACAATGCCAGAAGGTGGTTCAGACCAGCAGAACTGGTTGGAGAAGGCAACTTTTCCACTCAGTCTCACCCCTTACCTTTTGAGATAGTTCCTCCCGTAGAGGATCTGCTGCAGCAGGGTGACCACAGCGAAGGCGCAGATGAAGATGAAGAACAAAGTTCTGTTTCCCAGCAAATCCCTGCCCGACGAGGGGTCTGTGTATCCCATCCTTAACAGCTGTGGGATCTCCGTTGGGTATGATTCAGTCCATGGTCACCTTCACGCTTGTTTTGCAGGGCAGCCAAGGGGAGCTCCGGGTGTCTGTTCTTGGAGCAACCCAAGGACAGGGCATCCCATTGTCTGCCCCCTCCGTGCCTCTTTGGCTGTCAGCTCCAGGATTGTGCGCAGTGCTCCCACGGTAAAGTTTCCCAGAGATTCAGACGTGGCTAACATCTAAAATCAGAGCTCTTTCAGCGCAGGCAGTGCTGTGCAAGAGGCATTCCACTCCCACAAAGCCTCTCTCAAAAACCCGCTGCTAGCAATTACCTACTCCAATCCAATTTTCATATTCCAGATGGGGGAAGCTGCAAATAAACCAGAAAACAGCAGCCAATGGCAAACAGAGGGCTCTGGCAGCCCGCGCTGGAAACGCATCGCCATCAGCTCCTTGCTGCTTCTGCTCAGCAATCCCAGTGCAATGTGCTCGCACGGAGACGTGATCAGGGTGTGCTATTGAGGAATGAGTGCGGAGCAGTCATGAGGGTTTCCTTCAGTCCCCTGCAAAAACAACAACAGCAATCTGGTCAGCCTGGCAGGGAAGCAGTGTGCCACTGGTATTACAGGTTTGCGTGCCAAATGTGATGCTGTACTCACATACCACTCACTGTTTGGGCTCCTACATTTCCCCTAGTTATTCCTACAGAGTGAGCAAGGACGCTGAGCATCCTTCAAGGACACACTCTCAGTTCTTGCATGCTGATGTACTGGAGGCACGGAGCAGCCCTGCAGCAGCCGCGCACAGCCTGCCTCTCAGATTCACTTAAAGAGACAAATATTCTGATTGCTCTCTGCGGGGAGCAGTGCTTTTAGCAAAAGGCAAAGAACATGACCTTGCCCACAAGTATCAGAGCTGCCTGAAATCTCTCTGTCATCCGGAGGGCTCCATGCTGCTCGCAGGGAAATAATGGCACTTTTGTTGCTGATGTGAGAGCAAAGCCTACTACTCCCAGCTCTTCTTTAACAAGTTCTAATGAAAGCTTTGTAAACATCACAGCTAGGGGTTTGTTTTGCCCAAATGGAGGACAGGGAACAGGGATTTTGACAACAAAACATAGTGAAATAAACCCTCGTCTAAGGTAACAGGAAAATATTTGTGTCGATAAATTTTCCAACAGGTAAATCAGTGTGTGCAAAACATGCCATTAGCCAGCAGTGCAAAGCAGCAAGGAGCTGCTTTTATTGTAACCAACAGAGGTAATAAAAGTGCTTGAGATATGAACCTGAACCTTGAGTCCCTGCAGGCAGGAGACCTTGGGGCAATTCCACCCATTCAGACTCTCTTGATTTTCACAGAATGATTGGGTTGGAAGGGACCCTACTATGGGCTGGCTGCCCCCTACCAGTCCTTTCAAAGCTTCACACCTGCATTTATGAGCCCAGCAAAAGGCTTTAGGCTTCACTTGTCCACGCAAGAACTGCGGTCATCCTGAGGCTAGGCAAAGATCAGCAGCCCAGTGCCCTGTCCCAGGAACAGACAGCCACAGGGAAAAGAAGGGACAGGGCAATGCTTACATGGAAATACATCCGGGGTCAGAAGAAAAATAACAATCTGGATGGAGAAATAACTGTTTTGGAAGCACTCACTTCTATTATACTGGGAATATCACACATACGGGCGACTGTAAATTAAACAGCAGCATTGGCTGGATTCCCTCCCACCAAACTCACCAGTTGCAAGGCCAAATATGTTTCTTTCAATAATCAGTACATGTCAGCTCATAGAACATGAGAATACTTCCATACAGGAACAATACCATTTACATGCAACTTAATCCCCAGCAACAGGAAGAACAGTGGGGCTGCTATGTAAATGTTGTGAAAGTGGATTTGCACTGGGAAGCTGAGAAATAAAGGCACCTGTGAAGGAAAATGCAGTCAATGCTTTGATTTGTCAGATTTTTATGGGTACCTTTGAAAATCATCCCGAAGAAATTTGTCTCAGTTGAAGAATCAGTGAGGAAAATTTGGCTACTTAGGACCTTCTGTTAGTGTGATACTACTTTTGCAGATAGTAATATCAGCTAGTTTTAGTGAAAACGTTCTGCCTTCCTTCCTTTATTCCTCTCCATTTGAAGTGATTTGCTATTGGGACAGTGCACCAAACTCAGCAAGCTATTCCGCTTGAGCTGAGCAAGGCCCCATGCAGTCATGGCCACATGCAGTCAAGCAGCCTTTGATTTGTGTCCTCTTACCCTTCTGCACTGCATCAGAAGATACAGCACTGAGACACCTCTGTGCAGAACCACTGCAAACCTAATGCAAAGGGCAAAGCAAACAGACACATACATGGAGAGTGTTTTCTGTGCCACATCTTGCAGAGATTTCATTCCTGATGTCTTCAGTGCTTTTTCTGTGCAAGCACCAAGCACAACTTTGCTGAAGGGACAACGTGTAGTCCTTATTTCTGAGTTGCAGTTTATTTAGAGCTTAAATAAAACAGAGAAATTCACTGCTGATGGGCAGGTCTGGCTGGGAATTTCGCTAAGCATCTCTCCTTAAACCAGTCATCTGATTCAGCATTTGACTGTGCACTCTCATTTCAGCTGGAAGCAAGGGCATTCGTGTGTTGGAGAGCAGGATCAGTCTTGTTAGCTATTTAAATCACAGTATGCATCACTGAATGAATATATGAAGCTCACAGGACCATACAGGTTCAGAGTAAAGCACAATAAGCACAACATTCCCCTACAGGAATGTTTCCCTCCTCGCCTGGTCCGCACGTTAAAGAACTTCACAGAGCAGATTATTAACAGCTTTGTAAGGCTGTAGATCTTTCAGATCTCACTCTCCTACCTTCTTTTTCCTCTAAATGAAAGTTTCTGCAATACTTGTGTCAACTGCCAGACCACTGATTTAGCTGAGCACTGGCACACATGTACATGCCCATAAGGTTCAGCTAAATGTGAAACCTATTAATACGTGTCTATAAGTATTAACTCTTTTGCAATATCAAACATGCATTTATCAGCACGACCTATTGCTTAACACATCTTGTCCCACTACCACCATGAATCTGTATGCCTACAACTGGGTATTAAAGAAGCTGGAAGGATTCAGCTGAAGTGTAAATGTTTATTTAGCTGGGGTTGAGGCATGAGGGGGTGACGAAAGCCACGTTGGCACCAGAGCTACCTGTGGAGGATGTGTCCTGGAGATAACATATGTTCTGCACACTGGATATCCATTACATCACCACCAGTTTCCTTCCAACCATGTTCTCATAGACAGTGGGGGAGGTCAAACCCAGAGGGCTGCGATGGTGCCAGAGCCATAAAGGAGCTCATGGGTGGCACTTACCTATCCCAATCAAGTTAAAACTCCCACGGGCTTCACCAAACTGAGCTTAAACAACCAAACTTCACATTCTGGTGAATGCCTATGAAGCACTGGAGCTAGTGCCACCCATGTTAAAAGTGACAGATGAAAGTTTTGATATTTCTTTTTTCAGAAAATATCCTAGCTGTTAATGCAATGAAATATTTCTATGGTCAGAAGAACAACCACACACTGTCTAACAGTGACAACATCATCTACTGGAGACAAGCTCAATTTGTGTTGATTTCACTATTTTAAGAGCAAAATTTTACCCTAAATTGTTAATCTGAGATATCAACAAACCTTAAAATATGGCATACAATTTTGGATGCAGTTCACAGAAGCAATGACTTTGATGTCAGAATGCATTTTGCTATGTCAGTGAATAGCACTCATCAGAACAGTAGAGTTGGACCAGGTGGCCTTTAAGGGTCCCTTCCAACTTAACAATTCCATAATTCTATGTAGTAAAGATTTCTCTGAGCAACAAGCTAATTGATTCCTTCAAAAATTTTATACTACACAATCAAGACAAAGAGAGCTATTTTAGGATATGATTTGGGCTTCAGAAAGGTTACCTTTGTCCTTTTATCACAGTTCTGTGCTGATTTTCCATTCAAAGTAATAAAGTATACACCTCGTGATTGATCCACCAGCTTCTGTACTCATCAACTTCCTAATTATGTGATTCCATGATTCCATGTGATGCAGACCCTGAGCCTCACCTCATTCTTCATTGAAGAACCTCCATTTTCTGACCTCACTGACATCCTCTATAGTCCTCCTGCTTCCAGTGCACCCTTCTCTTCGATCAGGCATTGAAACAGGCTGCCTAGGGAGGTGGTGGAATCTTTGTCCCTGGAGGCGCTCCAGAACCGTGGAGATCTTGGGGGTGTTTTCCAACCTCAGTGATTCTGTGATTCTCCCCAGCAATGTGCTCCTTTCCATGTGCCCAAAGTTCTGCACGTCTACCAGCAGCTTAGTTGGTGGCGTTGCCCCTTCTCTAGGGAGCCTGCATCAGGCTACGTACTGAAATAACCAAGAGTGTAGCCAGTTAGTTGTGCTAGCTCTTTAAAAACCCGAAACTGGGAATACAGAGTGGGAGTTCATCCACAACCCATTACTAATCCCCAACAAAGGGGTTACGACAGCATCTGGCCTACGGGATGCAGTGCCCTACAAGCTAAGATGAATGAAATGCCTCTGACAGGGAGAGACGTCCCCGGGAGATCTCTCCTCCAAGCGGAGGGAAGCACAGCGTGGCATTTAGTGATTTACAGAACACTCCCATCATCTTTATTTAAACTTCACTCTCAATCAGCATTTTTGCTTTCCTCCAGGTATACCCAGCAGCTCCACTGGAGCTACAAGGGCTGTGGGTGGTCTCTTTGCCTGCAGCGTGGGCAGGGAGGTATGTGTGAACAGCGATGCAGTCACTTTAGAACATATGAATTGAAGCTTGAAAGGAAAAATAATAATGAATTGAACAGATTGTCAGGCTCACTGCAATTCCCAATCAATTAAAGCTTATTTTAGCAATAGGGCAGTTTAGTTCTGAGAAGTTCTCCTGGCACTTTGAAGATTTCATGATCCTGTGTAGCTAAAAAGGTCTCGCTGGGAACAAATTGCTTCTGGTACAGCATCCTCTGTACTGCATCTCTCATTTCTTTTAAATGACAGTAAGTAGGAACCACATGAGCAAACAGCAGCATGTGAGTAAGGCTTTGGCCCTGGGTGAAGAAGAATGATGAGGCTTGGACATGTGTCTGCTGGGCTCACAGTCTACAAGAATATCCTTCGATGAATCTAAATTTAAGTTATGAGTCAGTATTAGTTATATTAAACCAAAGAAAGTATTCTGCATCAAGCAGTTGATATTTTTTAGCATGTTTTTACATTATGTCTGTCTTTTGGATCTTTTGATTTGTGACATTATTGGATGGCATTTCACAGATGTGGATGACACAAGAACTGCCAAATCACAATTCCTTTTTTGCACTTGAAAAGATGAACCAGTGTCAGATTCACACGGAAGGGTTCATGGGTTCAAAAGTCAATTAATTTATGAGGAAAGACCTTCCCTGATAATAAAAATAATATGCAATGGTTTGGGGTCCTCACAGTTTATGGGAGTAGCTGGCAAACAAGAACAGTGCTGAGAGTTCCTGTCTGTCAGAATCATA